ATAAAAATTTATTCAGCTACCTTCACAAGGAAAACAAATGTTTTGACAACGCCAAATACGCAATAGAACATACAAAAGGCAAGTAAATATTGTTGTTTTTCTTTCAAAATTTTCAAAAGGAACAACGATAAATGACTTCATTATTTCAAAGTAAATATTAAAACTTTCTTATGTTGACGTCTTTCTGGGTTACCGTTGGACTACTAGCGGGCGACAAAAATTGACCGCAATAGAAGACTACCCTTTAGAACTTGACTTGAGAGACAAAATAGAAGACCAGGTGGTCTTCTGTTANTTATTTCTCCCCCCCCCCCCGCCCGCCCCCCCGCCCGCGCGCCGCCCCCCGCCCCCCCCCCCCCCCCCCCCCCGCTACTAAGAAGGAAAGGCTGATTTGTATTTTGATAGAGTTTAAGATACAGAATGATACAATGGGAAGTCTATACATACTCTTGATTTCGTTCTGGTTCAAGAAAAAGTTTAAAGCAAAAAGCTGATATGCATTTCAATATAAGAGAAGACCAAGCGCAATTCAAAGTTGTGATCAGGGCGAGCGATCTCAATGAAGAATTATCAAAAAAGCGATGTTTGGATTGTTGTGGGAAAAATTACAAAATTTGTTTAGGCTCTATACTACGTGCCAATGATACGAAAACTTCAGTCATTTTCATACAAAAATGAAGTGCCACTTACTCAAGTTCCTCGATAGTTTTAGTACCGTCATTTTGAACACTTGAAACTATAGTTTATATATTAACAACTGACAATTGATGCATGTTGCCTCATAAAAAAGTTTTTTTAATGCCATTAGGCGTCTGATTAAAAATAAATACTTTATCTTCTACTTGTCTGGAATATGTCTAGAGCAAAAAACTATTAAAACCGCATATTTTCAAGATGACTGCAAACTCAATGGTGAGCGTTACAGATGTCTACGAGTACCGTTTTCCGACCCGAACCCGACTTATGCCTAAGAATTTTTGCCTTTTCGGTTTCCAGTTAAAAAGTTTTATTATTTTTTGCTGAAGATGTCAAGTTATCATTACGTTCTCAAGTATCTTTATTAAAACTTAATGTGTTTTAACTAAAAGCTTGTATTTTTCCACTAAAATTTTGTGGTTTTCTACTTAGATAAATTTTAAAAGACTGAGCCCGTATCCAGTCTGTTCCCCTAACTGCTGTACCCGTAATCAACCGTTAGGTCAGATCATGGGCCGAGTTGTACATCTCTAGTGAGCATGTTGTCATTTCTGACTGTAGCTGTTACTACAGCGTAGATTCTCAATATATCCATATTCAATTCGCACTATAACGAATCCTTGGTATCTTTATTGACTTAATGTTGGATTGAAAAATTCTCTTGTCCTCATTTAGAAGGAGTGTTCACATTTGAACTCTGAGGATGAAATTTCTATAAACCTTGTCGTAATGAAATTAAACTTCTATTCTTAGAATGAAACAGTAAGATAAAACACACCAATAGATGAAACCAAAATATCTGTTATGTTACACATGAAAAATGAACTGTTTTGATGAATTCTATCTTCTCCACCATCTTTGTCGAGGAGCATTAAACGGCTGAGCATTAAATGGCTGAGCATTAAATGGCTGAGCATTAAACGGCTGAGCATTAAACGGTCGAGCATTCGGTCCATTCATATTCCATGCAACATTTCGTCTAGAATTCCACCAACCTCCAAGGCCACTTGTTCCTGTACCACCTGTATAATAAAGACCAGCACCACCTTGAATTTGATTTGGATAAGCAGTTGGATTATATCCAGCATTACCGACACCTGAACCGTACCATTGAGGCATAGTATTAAGTCCATAAGAATCAAAGTTATAATTTACATCATTACTAACATAAGGTTTATTATAATAACCATTATCATCATATCCGGCATTATCATAGTTCGGTACTTGGCGACGTCTCCTTCTAGAACGTCCATCTAAATAAGAACTCATAGAACATTTAAGAACTAAAATAAAACATAGTTTTACGTACCCACAGCAACAATAACCAACAGAGTTACAAATAGGAATTTCAGATGCATTTTTTACCTATGATTTCAAAATACTAAATCAGCATTAATGCACAAGTTTTTCTGAGAGTTAAACATGTACGTAAATATCAAAGAGAAAAAGGTTCACTTTTTTCTTTCTGAATCAATATAGTGTACAGGTAGATGATGAAAAGACTTTATGTAAATAGAGCAACAAGCATATGTGATAATTTCTTATACATTAGTGTAACATTTAGTAAAAAAGGAAACCTTGATTTTGTATGAGAATACTTTTTATTGAATAGCAAAAATGTGTTGTAAAGCTTCAATCTAAGGAAGAAATCAGGTTTCATATCACTGTTCTTCATATTTCAGCAATAAATCAGCATTACTGTAATGAAAGTACTCCAAGTATACATTTAAAAGCTTTAGAAGAAAAGCATGTCCAGAACGAAATACGCAGATATGATATTTTATTTCTCAACCTTCCATAGTCCAGAAATAAGCAAGACTATTTTCATCGACTTTTTGTA